TATCTCAGATACAGTAAGTAATTTACCAAAAAAAAAAAAAAAAAAGGGTTTTGGCTGACAGCTCTGGAGCTTCTAGTCTGTGACTGGCTGCATAGCTTTTGGACATGTTGGGTGGCAGAACATCATGGTGGACAAACTCATTACTGGGATGGAAACCGGTGGGTGAAGGGCTGGGGCCCTGCTGTCCCTTCAGGGACACCTTGTGACCTGAAGACCTCCTACTGGGCTCCTCTCCTCCAAGTCTCCTTCTGGTAGTACTGCCAGTACTGCCCTAGGGCCTCACCTTTACCATACTGGCTTTGAGGACATCCAGGATCGAAACCATGGCAGCTGGCCAGGAAGACAACACATGGTTAGGGTGAAAAGGAGGAGATCCCCCAGTAATGCGGTGGCTGTGGGCATGGACAGCAGGGCTAGGCCCTGGGGCAGCAGTGACCAGAAAAATAGGGGTGGACTGCATGATGGGCAGAGTCTCACCAGAGAGCAACCTAAGTTCCTTCTCCCCTAGTAGCTGGTTACGACACAGACAAAATAAAGGTGCTCCATTTCTGTGTGTGCTTGGTGAAGAAGGGGACCACGTGAGGTCATCTGGGGACAGGCTAAGGACTGGGTGGCTGTGTCCAAGTGTCACAAGCAAAACAAGCTGGATTTAGGTGCCAGCGAACATCTCTCCCTTCTTTTTCTTTCCCATGCCCTAGTAGACCCCTGGAAGATGGAAGAGAGGAAGGAGGAAGAAGCGGAGGGGGGAGCAAGTGGGAATGACACTCATTTGCACTGAATAGGACCAGTCAGGCATGTGATATTTATTTATGCATTTATATTAACAGAAGGTCTTTCTAAGTCACTAAGTTGCCCAGGCGAGGCTTGAACTTGCAGTCCTTTTGCCTCAGCCTCCTAGAGTGCTGGGATTACAACCTTGCACCATCATGCCCCATTGGATCTTAGCTGCAGCCCTTCTACACTCCCAGCTCCTGCTACAGAGGCACTGACCCTGTGTCCTGTGTCCTATCTCGGTCTGGAGGAGACCAGCATGCACCCCACCAGTCCCCCAGCAAACCCAGCCATGCTTCTCTGTCCTGCAGGCTTCCATCTCTACCATCGGCTTCCGCACCTCATGCCCGAGAGCTGCCTGCTCATCCTGGTGGGCGCCCTGGTGGGCAGCGTCATCTTCGGCACTGACCACAAGTCACCCCCCGTCATGGACTCCAGCATCTATTTCCTCTACCTGCTGCCACCCATCGTGCTGGAGAGCGGCTACTTCATGCCCACCCGGCCCTTCTTCGAGAACCTGGGCTCCATCCTGTGGTGGGCCGGCCTGGGCGCGCTCATCAATGCCCTCGGCATCGGCCTGTCCCTGTACCTGGTGTGCCAGGTGCAAGCCTTCGGCCTGGGCGACCTGCACCTGCTGCAGAACCTACTCTTCGGCAGCCTCATCTCGGCCGTGGATCCGGTGGCCGTGCTGGCCGTGTTTGAGGAGGCGCGGGTCAACGAGCAGCTGTACATGATGATTTTCGGGGAGGCGCTGCTCAACGACGGCATCAGCGTGGTGAGCAGGCCCGGGTGCGGGAAACAGTGAGAGGCGGCAGGGAGTGGGGTTCTCGCTCGGGCTGTGGTCCAGTTGACTCTGCCAGGCTCACACCCTGGACTTCAGCTCCGACCTCGCCAGCGGGTTGCCAGGGAGACAGGAAGCAGAGGGAGCATGGAATTCCCCAGTGCAGGGGCGGCAATGACCACCGGGCCTCAGAGACCGGAAGTGATGGCCACTGTGGGTTTGCCTAGTAGCAAAGAGCAAGGCACATGCTCAGCACTGCTCAGTCACCAGGCCTCGCCCGGCCTTCTCCAGGCTCCCTTCTGGTTTGCTTCCCTTCCCTGCCCTCCTTCCCCCTTCCTTCCCCTCCTCTTCTTTCCCCTCCCCTCCCCTCCCATTCCTCCCTCCCTCTTTTTTCCTGTCACACGTGCTGCATTAGAGCAAGTTAAATGAGAACATGGGTTGGAGAGAGAGGACACGATTATAAAACGTCTCCCCCTCCGGCTCCAACTTACAGCACATGAGCAGAACGTGTAAGCAGGGTCTGAAGAGAAGTCCCTGGAGAGATTTGGAGAGCACCGGTGGGCTAGTGACATTCCATATGTGGGCCCAGCGGCGTCTGTGGATGGGTCACTAGGACATTCGCACTGCGCAGTCCCATCGCTGGGTGTCAGGGCTAAATACACCCTTCACCAGTCCTTAGTCTAAGTATAGATACTTTTATATGTTTGCACTAGTTTAAAATTTATATCCCAGCATATAACTAATAGGAAAAGGCATCTCATTATTAGAAGAGTCGAGGAGGAGCTGGGTGCAGAAGTGCATACCTGCAGTCCCAGCCATCCAGAAGGCTGAGGCAGGAGGATCACTTGATTCCAGGAGTTCAGTCTGGGCATCTTAGTGTCTCAAAAACAAAAAACAAAAAACAAAAAAAATTAAAACAAAAACCAAAAGCTCCCACTTGCTGGCTCCTCACAGTCTCTGCCAAAGCCCACTGCTTTCACTCCCGTCGTCTTTTTCTCCAGTCTGTACCTCACACACTCGCTGTATCTTTGGCTGTGGTTTAGTTACTGCTCTCATGGTTTGGTGGATTTGATGTTAAGTCTTTCTTGGCTATAACTGCGCTTTGGAATTTTTTCCTGTGTCTCTTCAGCCATTGTCTGGCATCTCCTAGGTGTGTTTTCTGTGATTTTAACAGTTTCCCTGATGGTGAGTTGTTTAGGTTATTTCCAAACTTTCACTCTTAAAAGTGTTGTAAGGAACATTCTCATTTCCCTGTGCTTCCCTTCGCCTTCGACGGTGTTTTTATAGGATATTTCCTTAGAGAGGAAATTGCCAGATGATGCAAAAATGTGTGCACTTACAAGTGTGAAACCCAGTGCTGTTGTAGTCACTCCCAACTCACCACACTGGTAAATGAGTTTCCCCCTGAGGTTATGGAGGTGGCTGAACGCAGGGTGCCGGACAGGGCCAATGAGACTCTCATCAAGGGCTGTCACACGGCAGCCCAGGAGGAGGACACTGTGCACTGCACACAGGCACACCATGGATGGCCCTGGGAAAGGCCAGCTGCAGGGGTTGGGAGCAGGGCAGAAGCAGATGGGAGACCCCATCCTCACAGGACAGTTTGCTGACCATCAGGAGCGGCTTCTCAAGGAGGGCTGCTGCTGCTGGCTGGGAACCTTCTCCACAGGGCCGCCAGGAACGGACTTAAAACCAGACAGCAAAGAGGCGCTGAGCTCTGCCTGTGTCCCCTTCCCCCCGGGCTGCTGAGATTGCGCGGGGCAGCTCTGTCAGCTTCAGGCTTTGCGTGGTCTGCGGCTTCACAGCCTGTGTCCTTGCAGAGATCACGGTCTCTGTGTCAGGGACACTGTCACACCTGTCAGACGAGCGACTGGTTTCTACTCATTTCGAGCAGGAGTGCAGGGCTCTCTGCCCATCCTGCCTGAATCCAGCTTTGTTGCCTTGAGCCTGTCTTGTCTGCATTTCACATGCAGCACCGTCACGGTGTTGTTTCCTGCTCTGGTTTCACGGCCGGCAGCCTTCACTTGACTTCATCACGGCTTCGTTGCTTCCGCATACACATTTCTCTAGAATGATCCTCTCGAAGCAAAATTATAGCCTTCCAACCACTGGAGTGTCTGCTGAGGGCACAGCCGTGACCTCCGCTGGGCCCTCAGGGTGCTGGCTCCGGTGGCCTTGCCCTCTGTGGCCACCCACAGCACGGCAGTGATAGTGCCCAGGCCTCCGGGTTCCCCTAACTGGAACCAGAGAGGTCCAGGGCCAGAATTAGAAAGCAGCTTGAAAGCAACTGGTACTTTCTGCCTTTCAATGGTATTTTGAGCCCTGGGCTTTGAACTCACCCTTTCATTGAGGAAGGAGCTGCCTTGGGCACCAGGCCCAAGTGTGTGCTAGCAGCAGGCAGCCTGAGTCATGCAGAGGTAGCTGTGGCTGTGACCGTGGACTCCTTGAGAGCTCCTCCGTTCTCACCCACACAGCGGCCCTCTCACTTCAGAACCCAGGAAAGGCAGTGCCTGAGGTCCCCTGGGCCTCTCCTTGTTTGATGTCTGGCTCTTGCTGGGATTTTAGGGTGGTACTCTGATCCCCAGAACATGCCTTCACTGAGAGATAAAGGGGAGCAGGAATAAAAACGAAATAGCTTTGAAAATTGATAACTAAACTTGCATTGTACATGGGACATTGGCTACGAGAACAGATTTTGAGTGTTCTCACCATAGATGAAGGAAGGAAAGAGGAAAGGAGGAAGGAATGGGGGACAGATGAAAGGAAGGAAGGAAGGAAGGGAGGAAGGAAGGAAGGAAGGAAGGAAGATAGTAACAATGTGTAGATGGATACTTCAATTAGCTGTGTTGTACAAAGCATTTCTTTAGGATATATGTATTAAAACATCATGTTGTATGACTTGAATATATACAATTTTATTTAAAAAATAAAAGATGCTTCTAATACTGCTAAAAATGAAGATCACCTGTATCCTCAGTTCAGTTTCATACCCAACAATCCCAGCAGGAAGCTAAGTGCAGCCCTTATATCCATGCCCCATGTGGGAATATGTATTTGTTTTTGGTGGCAGAAATCTGTAGAAATTGTAAATTTATAGAAAGTTTCGGTTTGGTTTATGGAGAAACATGGTTGATCTATCCACAGCAAGAATGATAATAACTCACCTTATTTATGAAAGGATAACACATTTTCCAGGAGAGATAGAGGGAGGAGACCCAGTCTATTGCATTTTTAAAGGTCAGATTTCTAATCTTTACCTTATCAACTGAACTCATTTATGGATAGAAAGTATCTTCAAGGGATTTGGATGTGATAGTCCTGGAAGAAAGGAAGCATAAACAAGCCTAGGGAGTACGGATATGAGTAAACTTGGGTAACTCTGGTTGTGTCTAGAAGTTACCATCTTCTGAAAAGTACAATTATTTTAAAATTATTGTTTTCCTCACTTTTATGATCTTACTTCATCTCCTCCTTCTAGACTTTGATCTCTTATTTGTAAGGGATACGGAGGGACCAGAGGTCCATCTTCTTAAAGCTGCTTCAGCCTGATGAGGGCATGGACCCTACCCACTTAGGAATAACACTTTCACTCTGACTGATGTAAAGGAGATGTAGGAATTTCAAATCCTGTTGTTTGAAGAATAACCATTTTTTATAATATGGAAAAGAGGACAAGGACATTATGAAGCCATTGGTGGTTAAGCTTCATTTTATAGCCATGTTAAATTAGTGAGGAGGGGCTAAAAATTAAAAGTAGAATATTGGTGAATAGTGGCTCCAAGGGGTTGAGAATCAGAGAAAATTAGATAGCACTTGACATAAGCATTTTATCTTTAACATTAGCCCCTATTTTCCCTGAGATGTTAATCTGCTACTACCCATGCAGTGTATGGTCCAAAGCCTGGGTGAGTGGTGAGAGATGAAGAAAATTGAAAAATAACAAGAAAGAAAGTTACATATCAAGATTAAGCTTGAAAGTTGGGACCAGGTGGAACCATAGCTTGATGAGCTAATAGCCACCTGGAGTCTAGCATGCTCTTTATGTATATTGTAAGACCAACAGGAAACTTATGCTGCATGCCTACGTGGTCTAGACTGACCGCAGTGTGGTTGCCTCATGATGGGGCGTGAGCAGAAAGGGAACAAGGAAGGATACATAATGCAGTTGTCTCCTGGGGCTGTGCCATCCAGGGTCTACAGTCTTAGTCAAACAGCCCATGTCTAGCTAGTCTATGGAATAGAAAGGGAGTAGGGATTAGGCCAAAGGCCATCTTCAGGCCCAGCTTGCGGTATCAATCCAAGTGCAATATGTGAAGTTTAAAAGCATAGTCTTCTCTGTTTTGTCAGTAAGAAATCCAATGCCCCCCTATTTTAATTATAACAATGGTCAAAGAGTACACTAAGATATCTATATGTTTTGTGACCATTGATCCATTAAAATATTTCACAGTTGGATTTGGATTCTGGTTCTGGCCTTTATTTTGTAGACCTGAAGACCTTTTGTAGTGACCAGCTCCAGATAATATAAACATATAAAGTCTGAAGTAGATAATAGAAAGTTCATACCGCAACAAAGCTCAGTAGCTAGAATATTTACATTGCCATTTTTATTCTATAGGTACAACTCTACAAGAAGCCAAGTTTTTACCTGAGGGGTATTTGAAACTACATATAAATAGTATAATGCCAATATACTTAGAGATGCAAAAGGACACATTTTTGGAAGGACAAATGGAACTGGGAATCATGGCCTCTGGCTGTGTGCTAAAATGTTGCAGGTGTAGCTGGAGACTGACATAGGGGCTGTGCAGTGTTTGGAGTCCTTTGTATAGGTAGCCTGTTTTTCTTTGTTTTTATAATACTATTAAGTACTCATTTGGTGGGTGGGTGGGGGATGTTTACACTTTCCTGCTGGGTGTTTAAGACCAGTTGACTTTCTTCTTGTTTGTAAATCACTCTTAAACTAAAAACATGGACCTGTGGTTCTTCAGTAT